TGTGTGTGTGCATGCGTGTGTGCGTGTGTGTGTGTTGGAAGTACACAGACCTGAAGCAAGGACCCAGGTGTGTATTGATCTCCTACCCTTTCCCCTGTAGCTGGACGAAGCCCTCACAGCTTCCGAGCTTGCTTTCCCTCCCTCCCTCCTTCTCTCCCTCCCTTCCTCCCTCCCTCCCTCCTTCTCTCCCTCCCTCCTTCTCTCCCTCCCTTTCTTCCTCTCTCCCTCCCTCTCTCCTTCTCTCCCTCCCTCCTTCTCTCCCTCCCTTTCTTCCTCTCTCCCTCCCTCCCTCCCTCCCTCCCTCCCTCCTTCCTTCCTTCCTTCCTTCCAGTGATGACAAATGAACACTGGATGTGAGAGGAGCCAATGAAAGTGTTTCTTGATCCCCCCCCCCAAGAGCGGAATAAATAGTTCCAGTATTCTCACACCCTGGAGTTTGCTAGCCATCCACCCCGACCAAACTCAGTTTAGGCAGTCTCATCACTGTTCAACACCATTCCCCGGGAAAGTGATGAGAACTATTTTGACAAGGAGACAAAAATGGCCATGAGCAAATGGCTTCATCTATCTCCAAGGATGTGCCTACTGAAGAGACAGCATCGAAGGATGTGCCCACTTGAAGAGACAGCATCAGAGCTGATAAGAAAAGGGAGGGAGGCAGCAGAGCGAGATGCAATGTCTGTAAATCCTGCATGGTTCCAGCAGTATCCCTGGGCTTGCATTGCCTGAATCAGGACAATGCCACCCCCAAACACATCCCCCAATGCCACCCCCAAACACATCCCCCAATGCCACCCCCAAACACATCCCCCAATCCCACCCCCAAACACATCCCCCAATGCCACCCCCAAACACATCCCCCAGTGCCACCCCCAAACACATCCCCCAATGCCACCCCCAAACACATCCCCCAATCCCACCCCCAAACACATCCCCCAATCCCACCCCCAAACACATCCCCCAATCCCACCCCCGAGCACATTTGTTTTTGTTGTTGCTGTTTGGAAACAGCCTTTCCTATAGCGTAAGCTGGCCTTGAACCCACTTTTACCAAGGATGGCATTGAACATCTGATCTTCCTGCCTCCGCTTCCTGAGTGCAGGAGGTGCGGGCATGTACCACCATGCCCAGTTTATGCTGTGCTAGCATGCTTCCTGCACGCTAAACAAGCACTCTCCTAGCTGTGTGATAGCGCCAGCCCTAATGCATACGACATCCACAGTAGTGGTTGCTTTGAAGAGGCCACACTGGCAACCATCGTGGGATCATGAGAAAGACTTACACTCTCAGATAAACGGAGCCTTTGGGTTGCATGGTCCAGTTGGGTATTACAGACATCCTGTTTGCAGAACGGAACAGAAGAAGCTCAATGGGGACACCAGCTGGAATGGAAGGCTCTCAGTTACACTGCAGACGGTGGCATGGCCCATTCCAGAGATTCGCAGGAGAAGGATAAGCACTGTTAGGTTCTGAATAATTAAAGGAGAAGGGAGGGCTGATAGATGTGCTCATTGGTGTGGGTGTGACCTGTGTGAAGATGACAGGACTCCTAGAACTTGAGGTCACTGTGGTAAGTGAAATAAGCCAGACTCTGAAGGACAACGCAAGTGTTGTTTGTTTCTCTCTCATGTAGGAGAGCAGAGGGGCTAAGGGGAAGGGGTACCATCAGGGCAGCAAGAGAGGAAGTGGGAAAAGGAGGAAAAGCAGTCAGGGCGTAAAACAAAAATAAATAGATAGGTTTGCCTGTCTAAACCCCACATTAAGTGGCGTCATCCGGTATGGATTCTTCTGTGTGTCATTGAACTCACTTAGCATAGAGTTTTCAAGGTTCCTTTCTTCTTCGGGCTACATAACACTGCAGTATGTGCTCATTCCCCGTGCCCAGTCCTCTGCAGTGTGGAGCATAATGGTTTGCCCCTTTGGGCTATCAGGGATAATGCTGTCACAGACATTGGTATCCAAGCGTTCATCAGAACCTCCTTTCCATGTTTTGAGGGCGTATGCCTAGGAGCTATGTTAGCCAAGGTTTTCTAGAGAAACGGAACCAGTAGAATGAATATAAAGAATTTATGAAGTGAGCCTAGGCAGTGTGGTCAAGTTAGCACCGGAGCTGGCTGCCTCACTATGTCGAGAACCCATAGTTTCTCAGTTCAGGAGGCTGCGTGCCTCAGCAGTTCCAACCTGGCAAACTGAAAAGCTGGGGGGGATCCTAGAGAGCACAGGAAACGCTGGTTTCTGAGGTCTGTGGCAGAAGCAGCAGCAGCAACGTGGTAAATAACTCCGCTGCCACAGGCAAGGCCATCGGAACAAAATCTGAATCATCTTCTGCCAGGCCCCGTTTTATCTGGGCTGTTGGCAGCGCCTCCTCCCACACTTGCTGTGGGTCCCAGTCAGGTAAGATAATTCTGCACCTGAGGCTACGGACCATCGGGTGGTTCTAGATTGTGGCAAGTGGACATGTGAAACCAACCATGGCAGAGGGCGTGCAGTAGATGGCATGTGGGCTTTATGTGTTGCATTGTGTGTGTGTGTGTCCATGTGCTTAATGACAGAGGTGGATGTCTAGTTTCTAGTTCTCTCTCTCTCCCCCTCCCTCCCTCCCTCCTTTCCTCTCTCTCTCTCTCTCTCTCTCTCTCTCTCTCTCTCTCTCTCTCTCTCTCTCTCTGAACCTGGGGCTTACCGATTAGCCAGGCATCTCCTTGCCTCTGCCTCCCAAGCAGTGGGATGGTAAGAATGTTGCTCATACCTGGCTTTCTTTATTTTCCATGGTTCCTAAGGACCAAACTCAGGCCCTCATGCCCACACAGAAAGCACTCTACCAACTGAGCAGTCTCCCTGGCAACTATGCATTATTTAAAAAAAAAAAACAAAACACACTGAAAGGGTCCAGCTCCTCCACACCCTCTTCAATTCTTTCCCATCTTTCCTTATTGTTATTGCTTTTATATTAACGTCCTAAGGTTAATGTAAAAGTGGGAGAGATCACTGTGATTTGACTTGCATTTTTGAGTATTCTTTCTTTTAAGGTTTATTTTTTATTATGGGGAGTGGCCTGTGCATTTGAGTGCAGTGCCCATGGAGGCCAGAAGAGGGAGTTACAGGTCATTGTAAGCTACTCAGCATGGCTGCTAGGAACCAGTGCCCACCCCCACCACCCCAAAAAAGAGCTCTTAATCAAATTCAACAAAAAGGCAGCATATAAATTGTCTTAATTAAGGTTTCTATTACTGTGAAGAAACACCATGACCATAGCAATTCTTATAAAGGAAACAGATTAATGGCGGGCGGGGCTCTCTTACAGTTCGGAGGTTTTGTCCATTATCATCATGGCAGGGAGCAAGGCGGGACGGGACGCAGGCAGATGAGGTGCTGAAGGAGCTGAGAGTCACTGTATCTTGATCTGAAGAAACAGGAAGTGAATTGATGAACTGGAGGGGGGTGGCTTGAGTACATATGAAACCTCAAAGCCCACCCAGACTGCAGCACGTTTCCTCCAACAACACCGTAAGTGCTCCAACAAAGCCACACCTCCAAATAGTGCCAACCCTTATGAGCTTATGGGGTCAATTACATTCAATCCCAATACACATCAACATGTCAATTTACAACTAGTCAAAACGCAGAGTCGCGGAGCCCTGTCCTAAAGCACACACCCACAAAACACCCCTGAACCTAATGCACGCACCCACAAAACACCCCTGAACCTAATGCACGCACCCACAAAACACCCCTGAACCTAATGCACGCACCCACAAAACACCCCTGAACCTAATGCACGCACCCACAAAACACCCCTGAACCTAATGCACGCACCCACAAAACACCCCTGAACCTAATGCACGCACCCACAAAACACCCCTGAACCTAATGCACGCACCCACAAAACACCCCTGAACCTAAGGCTGAGGGACATTGCAGAAGAGGGGCAGAGAGAGAGAGTGTGTAACAGCCAGAGGACCTTTGGGATTGGCTCCTAGTAATGCCAGAAGTGACATTCAGTCTACACCAACATAACTGCCCAAACATGAGCTGAACAAAGATGACATCGATAGACACGCCAAGCTGGACAAGGGAAAGCCCGAGAGGCCACACGCCTAAGTTCCAAAGGCAACTGAGGGAATCTGAGAGCAGGAGAAGTGATCGTCCCCAGGGAAAAGCACAGCAACTGGTTGTCCAAGGCTAACGCTCATCCCTGAAAACATGTATAAAGTAACATTATAGGTATAGGGACCAAATGGATTATATATATATATATATATATATATATATATATATATATATATACGCACACACATATATATGCATATATGTATACACACACACATATATACATATACATACATGTGTATATACATATAAATATATATATGCATATAATAACAATTAGTGGGAAAATAAACAGTCCATGAATTTGAAGGAAAGCTGAAATGGGTATGTGGGAGGGTTTGGATGGAGGAAAGGGGTGGAAGAAATGTTGTAATTAATTTATAATCTCAAAAATAAAAAGAAAATAGTTATAAAAGCATGACCCATGGCATACATGTAGAGGTCAGAGGACAACTTGTAGGATTTTGTTCTCCCCCCCCCCCCCCCCGCAACCATATAGATCCTGGGGGGTTGAATGTGGCAGCTCAGGACTAGTAGCAAGCACCTTAACAGGATAAGGTATCTCCAAGGCCCCCAAAGATTAAGCTTTATCCTTAACATACATATTGATAAATGACTTTTAATTGATTCCAGCAGGATGCGCCCCCAACCAACCCTGGAGTCTCCTTTTCTACCAGGTTGTTGTGGCCCAGGGCTAGGTGACTTGCAGTATTGATGTCAGTGTCCGGAGCTTCCCATCCAGCAGGCAAGGATGGCTTGATGAAGTAGCTCCTGACCCCCTCCTTCCTCCCAGAGAAGCAACACTTGTTCTACAGACACCAGGGTCCTTCACCACATGCATCCTTCCGCCTTCCAAGCTGACACTCTCCACCTGCTGCTGCTTCTCCTTGCAGGGATGCCCGATGGGACCCTGGACACCGTGTGCCCAGACGAGACAGGCAGTGAGGAGGACCTGTACGAAGAGCTTCACAACTCGGGCCACCACTACAGCCACCCTAGAGGAGGCGGCGAGCAACTGGCCATCAATGAGGTAGTGTCAAGGGGGCTCAGCCGGTCGAAGCAGGGGGGAGGGAGGGGACAGACACTCAGCGGGTCCCTGTGAGTCAGATGTGCAGTTGTGTTCGAAGCGTCTGGCAGAGTTGGGGTACACACAGCACCCTTGATCCTGTGGCTGTTATCCCACAATGAGGTATTTATATCAGTGTGGTTAAGGCAGGGCTTCCCTGGGTTTGCAGAGTCTGGGAGTAGGAGCAATGAATGCCACAGAGTTGTCCTGGTGGAGAGAGTGGCCAGGTCTTCCTGTCACTCCAGTTCAAGTGACAAACTCCGGGTAGACTGCGCGTGAAGCAAGGGAAAGCTGAAAAACTGGTTTCCCTCCTGTGGATCAGAGTATTTGCTGTTGCTATGACAACCGGGTGCCGCTGAAAGGTTTCTCAGGCCCCTAGCTAAACAGATGACTTTAGTGAGAAATTCCATCTGAGCAGAACTACTTCCCGATACAAGTTCTCCTTTCAATTTTTAATTGACGCATAGGCGCATGCTATATTTGTTTTTAGGATGACAGGTAATGGACATACCCATTGCCTCAAAAAATTACAATTTTTTCATGTTGGGAACATTCGGAACCTCATCCACTAGGTCTTTTGAGCGTATTGTGTAACATGTTCATATTGTACAGACGAACATGTGTGTTCATGTGTATGGAGGCAAGATGGTGACCTCAGCTTTTGGTCCTCAGCCACTGTCCACTTTGATTTTGAGACAGGGTTTCTCACTGACCTGGAGGTGCCCATGCAGGCTAGACTGGCTGGCAGGCTAGCCCAGGGGTCTATCTGCCTCTGCCTCCTCAGCTGTGGGATCACAAGTTCATACCACCACACCTGGCTTTATTTTTTCATGTAGGTTCTGTGGATCCAAGTTTTGTCCTCGTGTTCGTAAGTCATGCAATTTACAAATGCTCTACCATCCCAGCCCCTCTTTTAAGCGATTCTGTGAGTGGGCGTGAACTATGCACACATGCAGAGGCCACCAACTCAGGGTCTGCCTGTTTTTGGCCCCTGCAATACTGGGGTTACAGGTGTATGTAGCCACAACTGGTGCTGGGGATTGGAACTTGGATCCTCATGCTTGCAGAGCAAGTACTTTTACCGGCTGAGCCTTCTCCCCCAGGACTCTTGAGCAATTCTTAATTAAACCCACCAGGGCTATCGCCCTGTGCTACAAAGTTCAAGAGGCTCTTCCTCCTATCCAGCTACCCCCACCCCCACAGCCAGTAGTCAGCCGTTAGCTAGCATTTCTTAAAGCAGAATTCTTGAAGCATTGACTCGCCATTAAAGGGTCATGCACACTCCCGTTTCTCACTGGGGAGGGGTGGGATGTAACGACAGGGGCCCTGCGTGCGTGCGTGCGTCTGCTTCATGGGGTGCGTCTGCTTCATGGGAACGAAGGCCTTGCGGTACTGAAGAGTTTTCATCAGCGGTGATGTCTGTGAGTGAGCCTGCCAATGGCGAGGGGGCAAAGACTCAGCTCCACTATCATCCTCAGCCGCCTGAGGGGTTCCCCTAACCTTTTAGGGACCTCAGCTCAGGCCACACCTAGGTTTGCGGCTCCAGCACAGAAAAGAATTTCAGGCGTAGGCAGTTTGAAGCAGAGTCCAGAGATATGTTAATATAAACTTAGGGGTGAGTGCTGAGGGAGGGAGAGAGATGTCCAGTAAGGACACGCACAACCCAGTGTGGGCGTGGCCTCAGGGGAGACTAGCGCCTTGGCAGAAGCTGTACGTACTATTTTGGTGGCCCTCAGATGGCATCTTAAAAGGTTGCTAAGAAACCTTTCTTCCTCTTTTCTCTCTTTTTTTGACAAGTGCGATTTAGTGGGTCTGGATGTATGGTTATATTATAACCATATATATATATATATATATATGTATATATCCAATATAATCATAACCTGATGAGGTGAAATCAGGAGCCGCTAGGGTTGCACACAGGGTTAAGATCCCCATGTCCTTTCCCTGTAAATGTAGAGTCTGGTGAGAGTCCTAGAAAACTGCAGGTTTGTACTTGAGAAGCGGTTGTTAATGGTGAGGGGATGCTGCTCCCCTGGAGATAAGAGGCTTCAAGCAGATTCCTGGGTGAGGGGCTCCTCTCCATCCTCCTGTCCCTGCACTCTTCCTGTTCCGCCTTAGACCTCTCCCAAAGCAGTGCTGAGTGCGAGACTCTCTTCACACACAAAACCGAGTAGTGGGATTCGTGGCAGATGACCTCTTCTCTGAGGCCCAGGTCTCCATAGTGATTTTTCTCTTTGCAATACTTCTACACTGCTGCTGCCTGCCAGAGCATCTGAATGGTGGGAAGCGTTATTCATACTCTGGGGCGAGGAGATGTGGTCCACAATGGTGTGGACAATGTGGTGGCTGGAGGGGGCTCATCCATGGAGGAGCAGCGGCTTCTGTCACGACCGCTGTCCAGAGGCTGACAGCAGGGCCTGGCTAATCTCCTGAAAGCCCGTCCTCAATGCCTCACCTCTGATAACCACGTTATCCCACCCCAGGGTTCTGAGACTTCCAGACAGCATCAGCAGCCAAGAGTGTGCATCTACAGGGACACTTCCCAACTGAGCCACATGTCTTCTTTACCCCTATTTGATGTATTTTGGTTTTGGTTTTGTTTGGCAATGCCGAGGGTTGCCACCCTTGCTTATGTGAGGTAGCCTCTTAGCTAATGCCCTAACAATGACTTACAAGAGCCATTCACCAATGTTTGATGCAGAGCTTGGGCAATGCCATTTACCTTGCAAACATGAGAGCCTGAGTCTGATACACAGAACCCATGTGAGAAAGCTGAGCACAGTGCCATGTGTTTGTAATCTCGGTGCTGGGACAGCAGAGACTGGCAGATGGTCGATAGATCCCCGAGGCTCACTGGCCGGCCAGCCTAGCCTACTTGGCAAGCTCCAGGCCAGTGAGAGATGTTATCTCAATAAAAAGGTAGGAACACACTGGAGGGTATCCTCTGACCTGGGTGAGCTCTCTCTCTCTCTCTCTCTCTCTCTCTCACACACACACACACACACACACACATGCTTTGTCACTGGTACACACAAACACTTGTTCATCTGCATATGCACATATTCACGCACACTTATCATTGGTAATAAAACCAATGCAAAAATCTGTGAAACACAGAGGGGGGAAAACGTGCAAATAAGTTAAAGTTCTAATTTAAGAAGTAAGTCTGTGTGTATGTTACGCATGAGAGGTGGTAGGGAGGAGTCAAGATGTAGGACGTGAGAGAAGATGCCCTCTCTCCGGTAAGATGAGACCACGTGGCAACACTTAGATGGATAGAGATGGGTTAATATTTAAGACAGAGTTAGCCAATAAGGAATGGGTCTCTAAAGGAGACGGAGGAAGGGCAGCCAGGACATGAAGGATGTCCCCCAGGTTCCAGGGACAGTCTTCTGAAAAGTCAGCCCATCAAATGGTGGCTCTGGGGACAGGGGCAGGAAAGATTGTGTGCTTTCTGACTGGCAGAAGGCATCGAGTAGACTCTTACCAGAGCACAGAAAAGATGCAGGGTGATTGCTGGTAATGGACTGGCTCCTTTGCCTTCCTCGGGCAGCCTCTCCCACCCCGGGGCATTGTCTGGGCCTGCATGGACTCAGCAGGAAGCTGTGTTGGGGGTTAGCATATACTTTATCCTTGGAAATTGTTGGAACAGCAGGTGTCAGAGCAGAGTTATCCTCAGTGATATTTGGCCTGCCATAAGTCACATACTCACTTGCATTTTCTAAGAAGCGGGTATCATATTCTAGACTGTGAACTTCTGTAAGGTTTTAGAAAGCATTTTAGTGATGTGACTGTGTATGAGTGCATACACAAGTATGGGTGCCTATAAAGGCCAAAAGAGGACATGGGATTCCCTCGAGCTGGAGTTACAGGTGGTTAAAAGGCACCAAGGGTGGACACTAGGAACCTAACTTAGGTCCCCCACAGAGCAGTAGATGCTATGAACTACTGAGCCATCTCTAAAGCCCCCAGAGAAAGACTTCTCAGGTTTTTACAGGGGGGAAACCCAAGCCTCTAGCCAAAGGAGTAATAGGTAATGAGGATCAGAGGCAGTTTGCATCCTGGGTACCTGGGGAGTGAGTGTCATGCTTACACATACATTTGTACATTGTGGGTATAGTGTAGGTTTGTGTATGCTGAACATATATGTCGCACATGGCCTGTGCACTTGCTGTGTGTCAGGCAGTGCATCTGCCATAGCATACAGATGTGTGGAAAGCATAGCCCTTCCTGCATAGAGCTGACCATGCAGGAGTGGGCTGCGTATATGATGCCTGTCTTTTTGTGAGCCCCGGGGAGCCTAAGAAGGTGGTACAGGGTCTCGTTCTTTCTGCATCCCTTTCACATACTTGTTCCTGGTCCCTTGGGGCTGTCCAACACCTGCAGGATGAGTCAGCAAATGAAGCAGTTAATTGTCCTCAGTTCCTGCAAGCATCTCTCTCCTACAGCATTGTCCAGCATGGAGCCGTCTCTGGATGTCCATGGCCTGGGCATGGGCATGCCTGTGCTTCCTACCTACCTTGTTCAGTTGCGCTAAGCTTCTCTGTGATGCCTGCTGCCTGCCCTGAGTCCATCCTCAGCACAAGGGTTTTTCCAAACTGGCAACAGTGGGAAGTGTCTGTCTGTGGATCTTTAGGTGTCCCTCCCTGTCCACGGCCACGCATCATGTCCTCATCTCCGCTCTGTTTCAGTTCCACTGGTGTGAGCAAAGATCTGGGGAGAGGTGGGTGAGGGACTCAAGGTCTCCTGTAAGCACCTTACCCCCTGTGCACGGCAGCCCTGTACCCACTGGGTCAGGCCATGGCTGAAACTCCCTCTTAACTCCAGCTGTTCCACACACACAGAACATTGAGATGCCAGGGTTCCCTCTGTTACATGTGCACAGAGCTGCTTGGATCCTTCAACTCTAGGGTAGAACTAGAGTATAGATGGCTTCTAGGTCATCCTGCCAAAAGCCCTAA